GTTTCTTTAGTTCTCATTCATTAACGGTACTCACGAAGGAATCTAAATACTATTTAATATAAATTTCTTTAAATTATTGTATACGAAAATACATTTGTAATTACTTCTGTTCAACGAGGAATCTATATCTATATACGTATCCAATTTACATTATCTTCATATAATTGGAAATATTTCCAATGCCATCAAACAGACAGCTCGTATCACTGAAAATCTAGTTCACAGTATTTCGGTTCCTATCATTTATTCAGCTACAGTCGAAGTGAATCAATGCATTTTTGAAAGTAAAGATATCACAGCTTCAAGTTTATCATATCCAGGTAATCTCGAATTCGATTTTTGAATCAGAACTTTGATATAATTTCCGAAATAAATTTCACAGCTTCCCAAAAACTGTCTCGCAAGGTATGGATTTCCTTTAAATAACGAACAATAAGTTGGAGAATTTATTATATTACGAATGAGCTGTAACGTGCAAATGGCACGGTATAATGCACTGATCAATCGATCCCGTTTAAAGACAAAAACACGTCTGATTGTACGGTAATCTATGAATCCCATCTCCATCTCTACATACTCTATGATACATATCGTAGAGCGGAGGGTACATAACGCAACTTGTGAATCGTTTCGTATCACGATAAATTTCTCTCGGCCCAGAATACATCGGAATGTTAATGCGATTCGAAAATAGTGTCTGGTATTACCGTGCCGTCATAAATATTTAATAACGACTGCTGATATTCATTAATGGCAAATGCATCTCCGCGGTAATAAAATCCCAGATCCTAATAAAGTTTGTTGTACCAGGATTTACGGTTCCGCGATTTGGAAAAAAAAGAAAGAGAAACGTGTAATCGGTTAATAAATTCCTATCACTGTTAACATGCTTTTATTATATAAATCTGAAACCTCAACAATCCGTTAGGAAATGAATTTTTAATCTGTTCTGAATGAAACGTGGGTTAAATACTAAAAGTTCCTTGACGTTGTTGCAGTATTGATTGACGTTTAATGATGTCTCGTTTTGCTATTAAAAAATTGCTTAACCGTATTTACTTAACTGATCCGATTCCAATTATGCACTTTTAAAAATGTCATTTAATTCCAAAATACATTAATTACAATAATAAACTAGTGTGGAATTATAACTTAACCCTCATCATATCATCGAACGTTTAACTTTCACCCTTCTAAGGATGCCATTTCACATGAAACTCCAAAAAACTCACAGAACACAAACAAACCTCGATACAACACAAGTTTCAAGTTTCCACAAATTAATTCCAACCGACCGTTCCTGCATAAACACCCGGATCATACGGAACAGCTACAAGCAAACTGAAAGTAATTACATATTAGAGACACTGCGCAAAGGCCACGGTTGTACGAACCGAAGACAGATGGCACAATGGGATTAGCCCGGCGAGAAGTCGGCAATAGCAAAAACCTAACAAAAGCGTTCATTTATTTTCAACGTCTACATACCCAGTCATCTACTAGAAATACGCGAGCGCGTGGCTTTCGTTCCGCTCCGTTATGCCCGCGTGTTCATGAATTTTATGCGCCATTGTTCAGCTTTCGACGTAACGAAAACGTTTGAGTCGCGGCGCGCATCCCTCGTCAGGATGACGATCTCCATAAAGGGGGACGTTTGCTCTGCGGCCGCGAATGTTTTCAGTACTTCTATAACCGTCGCGCACAAATGTAGAAAATGAACAACTGTTGCACCTGCGCTTTGTGCAATTTCTTTTTGTTTTTCCTCCCCGCCCTCCCTCTTTCTTCCTCCTCTCCTCCCCGGTTCTTTC